TCTCTCTCTCTCTCTCTCTCTTCTCTTTCTCTCTCGCTCTATATTTCTCCTTTACCCTCAGCTTTCTACGTGTATCGCGCGCGATCCGCTCTATCTTCTTTCAACGGTAACGACCTATCAATCCACTTATTCCGCACGGTTTATGTGCCACTTGTGGCATTTCGGCCTAATGCCGTTGTTGCGCGGTGCAAATCATACAAGCGAAATGTATTGTCGTCGATTTTTGTAAACGCACAACACCACCTGTGATCGAGCACTATTCTATTTGTAATTTGTAATTCTTTGTATATATGACGAAGTTTGTGCAACAACTACGTGACTAATCTAAAATTAAGAAGATGTAAGTCCATTTTATCTCATAAATAATCAGGGAATAAAATCTAGTTCGGTAAAAAAAATTCTGAACGTAAAATTAACGAACAATGATATATTTTACGTCCAAACTATAAAGAAGGCATAATAAAAATTAAAAAAATTTTTCTAAAAGTATAAATCTTTTTACAACACACATTTTTTTCAACTGACAATGTAAGTAATAAAAATTTTCTGAATTTTCATATATCTTTTTTATTTTTATGACTATGTTGAAATTAATTCTAGAAAGTCTGTAAAAAAATTCCCTAAAGCATTTTTGGAAGAAATGTAGAAAAAGGCGGAACAAATCTGCGTGGAAAGAAAACTTTCTATTTCCGGTCACTTTTGAAGATTTTTATCTGCATCCTAATCCTGCGGACTGAATAAATTATAAAAATACACTTAAATTATAGATAAAAATTCTATTTGTTTAGAAAGAGGAAAATTCTATTAACAATAAGTCTGATTAATTATTTATAAATTTACAAATCTATGAAATATAATCCTAAATGTCTTAACTGAATTAGGACTTTTTTATTATCATTTAATTAAAACTGTTAAATTATTTATAATTGTAATACTGACTTATAATCAATGTTGTTTATGTGAATTTATTATTATTTTTTGTTATAATTTTTTGGTAGATGATATTGACAATTTGGGCTGAATTCAATAGAGATTTTTCTAGACAGATGATATTAGGCAGATATTTTAATACATTTTACATTTTTATCGTTAGAATATGTTTTAATACGGAAGATATTTTATACTCATTTTGTTATTGTTTTGATCGAATATCGCTGTGATAAAAGCTTATCAAGATAGTGGATAAGCGATCTATAACTGTGATCAATGCAAGCTGCAATTGCATGAGACTAAAAACTGTCGTCAAGGATGAATTGCGAAATAATAACGAAATAATCGCAATCACGATGATCGCACATCGGCTTCGAGAAGCCGATTCCAGATTGCTCATAAAATTGCCATAATTGCACTAATCAAAATATAGATAAATAATCATTCGATGAGAATGCAATTACGATAATCATCTTGAAATAAAAAAAATGCGTGTTACGTTGAAAGAAGACATGTATATTTTTAAGCACCGTATCGATTTCAGGAATGTCGACGTTACTAATATTATATATATGACGCACAAATGTCATTTTGCGCATTTGTATATCACGCGTGCTTCCTTGTCACAAATCAACTTCTCTCGCATCTCTTCTCCTTTTCGTCGCATCTCGCGGCAACAGGTCTCACAACACGCAACACGCTGAAACGAAGACGCGACGTCCAATGGAGGCTTTACGAAAACGACTTCATTGAGGCTCTCGTTGAATTTTAGCGGTCAATGGATGAAGATGGATGAAAATGAAGGAGAAGTGAGATCTTTTATTACGAACTCCAAATCTTCTTGAATATATCGAGCGATAATAAAGAGTAGTGAAATAAAATTCGGAACTGACATTGGATATGAAGAAATTGTTATATTACGACGACGGTCAGAGAAAATGCAAGAGGAAATGCAATTTTCCACTTTCAACGAGAGAAAAAAGGCTTGATAAGATATGAGATCGATGACGTGTGCGAATTGCACGTGATGTGAATTCCCGGAATGACATATATATTATATTATGTTTTCCACTTGCTCATTCTGCAGAAATGAAATAATTTCTAAAACAAAAGCCTGTTTTATCTCGTATTTAATAGCAATTAGAAAAATTTTTTTCTTTCCACAAAATTATTGAATATTGGAGAACTAATAATGATCTCATGAGCTCTACGGATCGGATATTTGACTTAACTTATTCGTGCATTAATATTGATGTGTTATTATACGCGATGCGTCACGTAGGCTTCAGGTCGCGTCCAAAGGAGGATATTAAGGTTCGCCTACGATGCACCGGCGTTGCTCAGCGCTGCGGACGACGGCGCGTAGCGGTACATGCGTCCGACGGGTAGCCGATTTCGCGGCGCGCGAAAAAGCAAGTAGAAACGTTGCCTGTGCACGGATGGAACGCGAGAGGGACGGCGACGATGGCATGGTTGGGACGAGAAACGAGGGAAGGGAACGAGACGTCGGACCGAAGCATCGCGCCGCGAGAGGTCGGTCATGTTCCGCCGAGTGACGTCACGAAGCAATGGCGCCGCCTCCGTGGTGAGCGAGCTGGCCGATTGGTCGAGAGAAATGATGGCAGGCGCGCTTGCCAATCGATTGCCCGCGGTGCGTGCGAGGCGCACAGTACATCGGTCGGATATGGTCCCCACTCTACCCCAAGGTAGAGATCGAGTAGAGGGGAGTGTTTCACAAGTGGTAGAAGGGGGCGGCCGCCTTCGGCAGGAAGTGAGCTTCGACCCCAAGGCGTACGATACAAATGCTCAGACAGTTTCGTTCTCTCGTGGAGAGTGGAAGTTATTTCACTTCTTCTGCGTCGGGCTGTTATTCTTCGTTGTCGCTGACGTCCACCGCGGTGGAAAGAGGTGAGCGGGAAAGGAGCAATAAAAGGAATAAGCGCGTGATCCGTCTTTAGAGTCGTGTCGTTGCTTAAACCTGCCGCGCGCGCAATTCCTCTCGCCGTTGAGGGAAGGGTGCCTACGCGCGTGAAAAGGGTTCTCGAAGGCAGAAGCAGTGTTTGTGAACTCGGTGAACTTTTCTAGCTCACTGATTTTCGCATTGATTTGTCTTCTACCCATGTTTCTTGTGTCGCGGGCATCGGGGGTTTAGGTAGCGCATCGTCTCATTTTAAAGGAGACCGCCGCTACGGAGCACTCGCGTTTAGTTGGAGCGTCGCTGCCGCATTGTCGTGACGCGATTCGTCGAGCGTACCGTGGCCCGCAGCCAGTCAGAGCTGGCGAATGGTACGGAGTGGTGAGGAGACTAAATAGTGAGGGGAAGAAAGTGACAGTGTAGTCAGTTCTCGGCTGGACTCTGAATCTTACGGATCGCTTTTGAATTTCTCTCTGGTGATTTCCGAAAGAGAGGAAAGAAAAAAACGATCCACGCACGAGCGCGCGTATCGCAAAAAATCAATTTTGTCAATGGTATGACGATCGCAAATGGTATTCCATACCGAGACTGTGCCTACATGGGGTTGGTTACCTCGTAAATGACATTCTTGATTGGATTTGTGCGCGGCGCAAGACAGAGATTTGTAATAACTCGTGATCCATCGTAGCACGCGGGATGATCATTCGTGGTTGCCACGTCGTTCGATTGATACGCTCGCGCGATCGTGTGATCGATTAATTGTACACCGGTGACTGGAAAAAAACGTGCGAACGCGTTTGGCGATCCAGTCTCCAGACGGAGTGTCTTAGTAGTGAGATTATTATCGGTGACTTGGGGAATTCGCGGTCAATGTCGTCGTTTCGCGCGCGCAAAGGTGAAACGTTAGGGAAGTGACCGGGTGGTGATCGCGATTTGGACGACAAAAATTATTCTCATAGACATAAGATCGCCGGCGATCGGTTAATATTCTCGGCGTCGAACAGTACCAGAAAAGAGCAGCAAACTGTACGGGCACAGGCAGGAAGAAATGCACACGATGGAGACGGACATGAAGGGTGGCAATCTGCACGGTCAGATGCCACCGCATCCGCACCAGGGTGTTTCGCCGATGGGTCATCACACGGGGATGTCCGCTTATGGCTCTCTAGGCTCGCTCGGAGTAGTTCATAGTTCGGGGCTATCGGGAAGTCCACCCGGCACAGGCGTCTTGAGTCTTGGTCTTCAACATCATCATCAGGCTCCTCAACATCATTACGCATCCATGCAGGCGGCCGCCGTCGCTGCCGCGGCTCAACAGCAACAGCAACAAAGTATGCACGCAATGACGGCTCAACAGAGCGCTCAGCAACAGCAGCCGCAGCATCACCCGCATCAACAGCAGCAGCAGCAGCAGCAATCGCAATCGCAGCAACATCATCAAGCTAATAATCATAGCAACCCTAACAATCCGAACAACCCTAGCAACTCGTCTAACGCCAAGAATAACAATATGGACCGCGTCAAGAGACCTATGAATGCATTTATGGTATGGTCCCGCGGACAGCGACGCAAGATGGCTCAAGAGAATCCCAAGATGCACAATTCCGAAATATCGAAGCGTCTCGGCGCCGAGTGGAAACTTCTTAGCGAGGCGGAGAAGCGTCCGTTCATCGACGAGGCGAAGCGATTGCGCGCGGTGCATATGAAGGAGCACCCCGATTACAAGTACAGGCCGCGTCGCAAGACAAAGACGCTGATAAAGAAGGACAAGTTCCAGCTGAGCGGTGGCGTCGGCGGTGTCGGCGGGATGCTCGGCGTGGATCAACGGCAAGTCGCCACCAGCGGTGGGCCGCAGCAACCCCAATTGCCGCGCGATGTCTACCAGATGCCCAACGGCTATATGCCTAACGGTTACATGATGCACGATCCTACAGCCGCGTATCAGCAACACGTCGCGTACGGCAGTCATATGGGAGGTGCTGCGGCAGCCGCCGCCGCTGCCTCGGCTGTGGGCTACCCCAGGTACGACTCCATGGGCCATCACATGGGCGGCGGCAGTCCCAGTCCTATTAACAGCTATATGAATGGTTACGGTGGATATGGCGGTACCGTTCCCGGTGGTTCACCGTCACCGTATCACCAGGCTCAATCGGGTTCTCAGATGTCCAGTCATAGTCCTAGTGGCAGCAGTATAAAATCCGAACCGACGAGCCCGGCGAGCGGCGGTGGCATACATACGCCAACGCCGACGGCCGTCCCGGCGTCAACGGGCGCGGCTGGGCCCACTGGTCAGGTCGTCAAACGGGAGTACATGGGCCAACAGCAGAACCAACAAGCGGTGCAGCAGCAGGGCAGCGATCTCAGGCAGATGATCTCGATGTACCTGCCGCAGGGCGTTGAGCAAGGAGTCGTGCAACACGGAAGCGTCTACTCGCCGGGTCCGTCGCCCGATTCTTTGGCGCAACATCACGCTACCATGCAGCCAATCCCACACATGTAAGCTGATACAAGCTAAATGTTAAACACAAAAAAAAGAAAAAATAGAATCTTCTTTTGCAATATTCACACGCACTTCTCCCTCCTTGCTACATTTGCTTGCGCAAGTAGCTTTTTAGAATCGTGGAGATGGGATAAACCGCGAAGTTCGACATAGACCGTCGTACTTTACCTTAAAAATAAACTGCACTTCTTCTGAATCTAATATTTTATTGGTATAATAGAATGAAATGATTTTAAAAAATTATGATATAAAATAAATTGAAAATTGAGCTAATTGGAAGATTTTTGCCATTTACATTTATTTATTTCTGTATTTTCCATATTTTAATCAATATTTTTAGCTTTTTCATCACGGATAATGTCTCACCGTGGTTTCAACGCGCAATGAAGTTTTATTATTTCTGTTATTATTTTGTCAATTAATATCTATAATTCTTAATTTATAGTTTTTATTAATAATAACAATTTTATTGTTTATTATTATATTATAAGTAGTTGTAAATTATACGATTCTCTTCAATTTTATAATTAGTGTAATATTTTTGTCTTATTTCTTTCCGCATTGTTAATTTTTATATGGATAATATCCTATCGAATCTCACATGATATTCTTATTACGGACTGAACATAATATTTACATTCAAAGGAAAAGAAATATTTTGGGTCATTAATAAATAGTGATACAATCCTTGCGCACGTTGCCAGGCAATTCGAATCAGTGTATTTGTCCGACTTATAATTGTCAATCTTTTAATATGCTGACGAATATGACAAACATAACGCGGTTTATCCCACTTCGACGATAATTGCACTGTTCGCTTGAGTTATAAATGAGAATCATCGATGATCATCGTGAATATCACTCGGAGATCACCGATTTTCGTAAAGTTCGTGACTCGAGCATTATCAAAGTTTGCAGGAAGTCTATATTATAATTTATATCATATATGTATGTAAAATATTTTATTTTAGTATCTAGTTATTTGAAATGTTAAAATTAAAAATCTCTGTTCCACATCAAAACCTTTTGAATTAAGTACTCTTTATTGCTATAAATTTTATAAAAATTGGTTCTTTAACATAAATTGATTTTATTATGGAGCAATCAGTTTCTTATCTTAAATCGAATTTATAATAAGACCTCCTGTACGCTATATATGTACGTAGTAATTCGTGAGTGTCGTGTTATGGATGTTATGCCATGTAAGAATTATTTTCTCTCTGTCAGACAAGCATGCAATATTTAATAGCTTTATCTATCTTTTTTTCGCCCATATGATATATTCTCACATATGTTTCTCTCTCTCATGATGTGACACTCACGTTTTTCTATTGCTATTGCAATTGATAATATCGCATATGCTATCGTGACGATGCTTCTGGACCCTCTATCATCACACTCTAATTAACTGCTAAAACGATGATCTACGATTCGCTTGTTCTTATATCTGAAATTTGCGACGAGTCGCTTATATACGCACACGATTATTACCATTTCAAGAGTTAGTAAGGTGGAACTTGCAAGATATCGTTACACTAGAAAATTATAGACCGACCTGTCGAGTCGGCGGCAGGGGAGAAAGCATGAAACGTCGATTTACCTCCAAGATGCAGAAATCTTGGCTTTTAGAAATATGATTATGAATTTTACTGAAATAATTAGACATTTGAGTAGTTACTGCCAAATGATATATGGGATAAAATTTATCTATATTTAGATTTATATAAAATTTATATATAACGCACAGTTAATTTTTCTTAAATGGAAAATATTAAAACGTAACTTGTATTTATTTATATTTTCTTCGCGTGCTTCTAAGATATACAAATTTTTTTTAATCATTCTTTTTACGGAAACCAATCTTACATAAAATTTGTTGTCATATTTAAACAATTTTTTTTCAATAATTATGAAGTACAACAACATTAATATAAATTGGGATGCAGCTTACATGTTTGGTAGAGGCATGGGAGGTTTATTTTTTTATAATGGATTTATATTACGGGTATAGTGGATTTACAGTGCACATCAGTTTAATTGAAACTTAAAATTTTAAGCAAATCCAATGTTTTTCCTTTCATTTTTATTTATTTATTTATTACATATGTCCAAATGAGTTCCACTAAATTTTCTTATAATTGTTTTTCTCAGATGCGAATTTTATTATTATTTTATTAAATTTCAATCTTTATAATCATTATAGAATAAAAAAAAATTTGCGTGATTCACAATGACTTCCAAATAATTATGAATCATGTGATCATCTTTAGTTTTATAATTACTGCATATACTCGTTATTTTATTTATTTTTGTTAATTGGTATTAATAATTGGTATTATTAATTTCTATTTTTTATTGTTTAAGTTGTATTATTATTTACTTTAAATACATAATAAAACTTTTACGACTTAAATATCGAATTGTTTTTAACATAGGGTCCAGAATGAAGCAGAGTTCACGATACCACATGTTTAATTTGAGACTTAAATTTACTTTCCTCTGTAAATTTATTTCTTTTCTTTGTTATTTCCTTTCATTTTTATTTCTGTTAGAAATGATTTCTATTAATTTGCAAAAATAAATATCGAGCTTTATCAGAGTTCTAATATAGGTTGAGTCAAAAAACCGTCGAAATTACTCAGAGAAGAAATTATTACTCAGAGAAAGAAAAATTTTGTCGAAAGAACTTTACTTATTTATTATAATCTTTTTTATGTGGAGTTAACTTATGTTTTAATTAACTTTGTGTTCAATTTCGTGTCAATTCGCAGTTGTAATAAAATTCATTCTGTCTACATCGACGAATAATCACGAAGGTTTCGTCTGACTCATCCTATTTCTCCGTCGATGAACGGACAGTTAGAGATAGAAACTTAACAGACGTTTTCTCACATCTGTGCCGCAACCTAACGCAAAACATGACATCGTAGGAATCTCGTAGCTTAGAGAGACGGACGCTTCTGCAAATGGGAACCCTATAGAGAGTAACGGAAAAAGTAAAGAGAGGGAGAAAGGCAAAAAGAAAGAGCTAGAGATGGAATGCGAAATAAAGAGAAACGTACAACGAGATCGAGAAAGAAAGAGAGAAAAAATAGAGAGGG